TAACTGAAACGCCTCATCTGCCACTATGACAAATGGATAGCATTTTTAGTGGAAGGGAATGCCTCGGGCCTAGGGATGCCTAAACTTTTTTCTTAATTGATTCACCCATTGTACTATAAGAAAATACACCACCGTCACTATTCCGTCCTGAGTCACCAATATCAACCAATGTGAACTGGTAGTTTGCATTGCAAATAGGCATTAAAACAATAGAATGGGTTTTCTTATAATTATAGAACATCGATCCAGAGTTTGCTGGTGCCTGCATCACGACGTGTTTTCCATCAAGCGCACCAATGCAGTGTGGAAAATTCCATTTAATTTCAAACCCCTGAGCTATGCACTTCCACTCTGCCTCATTGCTTGGACATTTCATGAATACTAATGACAGTACATTCCACAGTGCTTCACATGTTGAAAAGATGAATCGTCCAACAGTGGTTGGGCTCATTCGAAAGTTCATCGCTATGGTTGTTTGAGAATCTCCTGTAGTTAGATACCTGAGTGTTACACAAAGTCGCTCACTAGGTCCTATACATTCCCGAGTTATGCAAGACTTCTGTATCTCTGGAGCAATCATAGTCAAAAGTTCTTCATATTGAACAGGAGTCATACGAAAATATTTGAAAAAATTCTTTATCAAATAAACGTAAATCTTGGACTAATAAATAGAATTCTCCTTTAGTTTTGCGCTCTTGAAATATTTTCGTACCCATACTGACTTTTTATTTTTATTTCCTTTAGTCATCCTTCTTTTAACAAGAAAAGAAGAAGTGTGTTTTACTGACAACCGCCATGTTATGATTATAATCAAAATTCGCGCCATGCTTCGTTTCTGTACGGTTCGTCAAAACCGCCAAAGTGGAGAATGTAACACGTATATGCATACGATACGCTACGTCGCGTTTTGCTACGTTACGCTATGGTACGGTCGAAGTGGAGATCGGCCTTTAATATAAAAATTGAAAGTCTTGCTGAATAACGTTACGTCATCGGCGTCTATAACAGCCACAAACGGGACTTCTCGACATTCATAACACAATTAAAGCATCGGATAAAACAAGACTTACATTAAAAATTTTGTTTCAATATTATTCATTTGACTCTTATAGCAGCCAGACAACTATCAACAAACCAACTGCTTGAACTTGGGGATGAAAACGCAAGTATGGACGCGACTGCTAATTGTGAGGAAAAGAAAGAAGCCGGGAAATTAGCTCGTTCTTTGGGCGACTGGTTGTTTTCGACTAACGAAGTCAAACGCCACCAAAATGAAAGAGAGAGGATGAATCAAACAAGCTGGTTGTCAAATTTGTAGAAGCTATTGACATGACTCTGAAATGGCCAGAACATAAAGATCAAATATGAAAGTTGACGCAAAAAGCAGGAGCAAATATTGAGAGGACTGTATAATTTAACGGATTGGAAAATTTGCACTTGTTACTCTGCATTGTATAGAATTTCGACAAAACAACACAACGTCGACTTTAGGTCCTTGAATCTTCCTACTGTGTGTATATTGAATTGTCTATACGTATATTTATTATGTACGTAAAGTATGTTTCATTTTGTCTGAAGAAAGTTATAGTTCTTCGGAAAATGGAGATCACGAGGCATGCAAGGTTCAGGTTGGATTTTGTCTTGTAATTGTATTCATTGCAAAAGGCCTATTTCGAGTTCGCTTGCATTTTAGTAATTTTGTCCCATTGCATTAAGCACACTTTAAGGCAAATAAATTTATTTTAGAAAAAATGGAGCTCGGTCATTTAAATTTCAAATGCAGGTTGGGCGTTCACTGCTTATTTCCTGTTCCATCGATATTAGGAATCCAGTAATTCGTCATTGGACCTGATACAATTTGGCGGGCTTACTCTGGTTGCGGGCGGCCATTGGATTTGCTTATTTCCATGATCAGAGAGCGTTTTCTACGAGTTTATTGCAAAACTCAAAGTGCAACACTGTTTGTTGAAGGAAATTTGCTCATAAGCTTAACAAGCGCTAAAGATTTTAGAGATGGACCGTAGAAAGACGGAGCTTTACCTCGTTACATTGTGCCTATAGCAAGTTGCATTACTATAAAGAAGTTGTGTTGAACGACTCAAACATTTCATCAAAACGCATTACACATTACTGAAATATTGAGCTAGATATCTCGGCGTTCCTTCGTGTTTCAAAACGGCTTCAATATACAAAACTACGTTTCTACTTTGAAATTATGTGCTCCACCATCGGAAAAACGCAATAAACCCGTATTATTTACTCAGTTATTTGTAACAAGAAAGAAACACTTATTTTTTATTTTAAAAGTTTAGCATTACTTGTTTAAAATGAGGGGGGACAAATTTACAAGCTAGGACTCATATTTTCAAGGACACTTGGCCTGGAGAGACAACTTTTTTGAGGGGAACATATTTCTTGTTGTGACGCTGGTCATACATACATGGAAATTGTTTGATCTCCAGAGTACAAGTGTACGCCTAAGCCGCATGCAGGTTCGACTGATTTCAATTTGATTACAACCCACGCAAGACGACGATCTCAGCACCAGTTTAGCACCGGCTGAGGAACAAGTTTTTATGCCATAGCGCATAGTGTTTCATTTAAGTTTTATGGATCATACCGGAGTTCAACCTCGGTTTAAGAAAGCCTCATGTAATCAGCTTTTATGATGTTTTCCACATAACGGGAAGATCCCAAACAGCGAAGGGAGTTTCCCAAAATTATCTATCGTTAGGAAACATTTGACTTGGTCACGTTGTCAACAAATGTAAAATAAAAAGCTAGTTAAATATTTCTATTTCTATATTGTAATAGTTTTTAATGCTAGATTTTTGAGTTCAATTATACGTTGGTTTCTTAGTATATATCGTGCGCGTGCTATATATTTCTATCTCGAATTCATCTCTCACAAGGAGGTCATGTGGAGTGACATTGACATGCAACATCTTCCGTTTTATCAATGACATAACGTAGTTAAAATATGTGTGCTATAGTGCTGTTTTTAAGCAAGGTCTGCTTACTTTCGCGACATATTGTAGTCTGCGTATCGTGATGGAGTACGTATGGGTCGGCCGTATCGGGATGTTTGATGAGGTGCTGATGACTTGTCGGGATTAGGTTTTGACAGCGTTTGCAGGTCATCATAGTTGGTCTTGATGGTTCTTTGGTTATAGATGGTTCTTTTGTTGGTAGGAGGTGACGCCTACGGACCATGTGCCCCTTTTCATTCATGATGAGGTATGCTCTAGGTTCCTTACACTTCTTGACTACTTGTCCGGTTTGTGCCCAGCTGTTGTCGTTGTTAGTTCGAATTCGGACCGTGGTGCTCGGCTCAATATTTGATAGGTCTCGGGCATGATAATCATACGCTGCCTTGACGTAAGAGTTGGAGGGAGTGACATTGATTGTTGACCTTTTGCTGCAGGAAAGGTTGTGCGTGGGTTCCTGTGATACATTTTGTAGGCGGGGGAACTGCCATCATTTGCGGGTGTTGTATTCAATATTAGTAGTGAGAGAAATGGATCATTCTTAGCTTCCTGAGCTTTCTTCATTGTTTGCTTGACTGTTTGGATAGATCGTTCAACGATACCATTTGATTGAGGGAAGTGAGGACTTGTGTTGTCATGTCGAAAGTCCCATTCTCGAGCAAATTGTTTAAAGGACGAGGCACTGTATTGAGGGCCATTACCGCTGACAACAATTTTGGTACTCCATGTCGGCTGAAGATCTTTTATGCCACGTACAACTGAAGGAGAATCCACTGGCCTTGGTATGTGAGCTACCTCGATAAATTTTGAGTGATAGTCAGTAACTATGACGTAGTCTCGTCTGTAGAGTGTGAAAAGATCTGTGCCAACTTTTACCCAAGGTTGGTCTGGAACTTGATGTGGGATCAATGTCTACCATTGATGTCGATTACGATGATTGATGCATGTGGCACATTGAGATACGAGGACAGCTAACTCATGGTTCATCCCTGGCCAATACACGGCATGACGGGCCCAGTTTTTGCATTTTTCGATTCCTTGATGCCCTTGATGTATAATCTCTCGGATTTCACAACGCATCGAGGTAGGTATGATAATTTGCTGTCCTTTTAAAAGAAGGTCGTTGTTGTACACGATTTCATGACTTTAGTTATAGAATGGTTTTACAGTGTTGTTAATTTCGTCTTTGGATGGCCAACCATTGATTGTGTACTGCTTTAAGATCTGTAGATCTGGATCGATCCGCGTTTCACGTTGCATTTGTGAAAGTCTTGATTCGCTAATTGGAAGTGTATTGATGACCGAGTGGACGTGATGAGCCATTTCCTTTGGATTGATCTCTGGTTTACTGTTGAGAGATGCTCGACTGAGCGCATCAGCAACTTTCATGGTTTTACCAGGTGCATATTCAAAGGTGAAGTTGTATTTTTGCGCGAAGAAAAATTGTTGTATTCGTGGGGACATTGCACTATGCTTTTGGAGAATACTGCTTTTAATGGTTGGTGATCATTTTGAACCACAAATGTACGACCATAAAGGTATTTGTGGAATCTTTCACATCCAAAAACGACGGACAGGGTTTCGCGCTCTATTTATGCATAGTTTTGTTCAGACTAATCTAACGCTCTGGAGGCAAATGCAACGGGACGCCAGGTGCTGTTTATACATTGCTCTAGCATTGCACCTAGACCAACTGAACTGGAGTCTGTTCGCATGCAAATTGTGAGGTTTGGGTCATAAAATTGCAGAACCGGTACAGAAGATATGTGGCGCTTGAGTTTCTCAAAGGAGTCAAGTTGAGGCTTTTGCATGACGAATTCGGTATCATTCTTTAAGAGGGCTCTGAGTGGTGCTGTTTCGTCAGACAAGTTATGAATAATTTTCCCAGATAGTTCATCATGCCCATAAATCGCCGGAGCTCAACTTTTTAGTTGAAATCGGCATTCAGTGATTGCCTCAACTTTTTGGGGTCCGGCTTTACTCCATCTGCTGACATGACATGACCAAGAAATGTTAATTCAGTTGCACCAAAGATGCATTTTGCCTGTTCAATTTCAGTCCACTTTCTTTGATCAGAGCAAGGACTTTCTGTAAGCGCTGATCATGGATTTCTTTAGTTTCTCCCCAAACAATCATATCATCCTGAGAGTTGGCACAACCTTCGCAGCCCGCAATAATCTTGGAGATTTGAAGTAGGAAAATCTCACTAGCTGAGTGAATCCTATATCGCATTCTCTTAAACCTGTATCGCCCGAACGCTGTGCCAAAGGTAAGGAGGTCAGAGGTTGAATCATCTACTGCTATCTGCCAATATCCATTACTTGCATCGAGTTTACTGAAGGCTTTGGCGCCACTCATTTGAGATGTTATTTCTTCTGTGGTGGGTAATCGATAATGCTGGCGTTTTATAGCCTGATTTAAGGGACAGGGATCAAGGCAAATGCGTAATTTTCCATTGGGCTTTTTGACGACAACCAAAGCATTTACCCAGTCTGTAGATTTTTCGACTTTTTCAATTATACCCAGTTGTTCCATGTGGTCCAGTTCATTCTTCAGTCGAGCTTTTAGGGCAAAAGGTACCTTACGAGGGGGTACTACCACGGGTGAGTCACTTTCCTTTAATTCCATGTGGTATATTGACTTTAGGGTGCCAATCTCCCCAAAGCAGTCTTAATAATAATCAAGAATGGTGTTTGAACTAAATGATTTCTGAGTATTAGATTCTGTTACCTTGTAGACTCGTTTGATCAAACTTAGACGTTCTGATGTAGCCAATCCTATGATGGGTGTGATATCGGAGTCCACTATGATGAATAAGAGGTGGTGCTTCTGTCCTTTATGATTCACGGGAATGATGCATTTGCCATGGACAGGTATTGGAGAACCATTGTAGGCAGACAGTTTAGTTGTTGTGCTTTTTATTGTTAGACGAGGCTTTAATTTTTTGTAAATATTCTTGGGTAAGACATTTACCTGGGCTCCTGTATCGATTTTACACATAATATTACGGGACCCAGCATGGAAAGTGACTGACCAGTGTCCTGTAGCAACATCACTGCTTACTGTGTTGACCTGTAGATTATCCTGGTGATCTGGGAAGACATCAGACTCGGTGGCAATAATACTGTCTAGTAGAAAGTCATTGTCATCAGAGGAATCAAATAAAGGATTGTTTTGATCATTATTTATCTTGTCAATCTTCTGTCTACAGCATCTGGCAAAATGATTCTTTCTGTGACATTTGTTATACTTTTGGCCATACGTGGGGCAGTTCCCACGTAGATGACTACCTGCACAAAACTTGCAGTTTCTGATCAGTTGACCACTATTTTCTCATGATCCTGAGGAATGAGCCTGGGGTTGTTGCTTCTTATATTTGTTGACGAGTTCAACACGTTGCTCGGTATGACTAGCCAGTTGTCTAGCATGTAGTTTAGCTTGCTCTGCGGCATGACCAAGCTCTACAACCTTTTTAAGGTCAATTTTAGGCTCCCGAAGCATGCGCTCACGAAGACCATTATCAGTGACACCACAGATGATCATATCTTTAATAAGGGAATCCTTGAGTGCATCAAATTCACAGTCAGCACAAAGTTTTTTAAGTTCAGTTACAAAATCATTGAATGACTGCCCTTCTGCTTGACGATATGTGAAGAATTTGTGCCTTTGAATAGTAGTGCTGCTACGAGGGTTACAGTATTCCTCGAATTTCTTAAGAACAGGTTTGAGTTTCAGGTTGGATTTATGTCTTTTCAATGGCATCCAGGGTCTATTTCTTCGTTTCCTATGTTGCACTGTTGTTCAGTCACCTTTGTAATTTCAATGTTGCGAAGTTTCGATGTTTCATGCATCGTTTTCGAGGCAAGAAATTTTAATTATTAGTTGCTTTCATTATTTACATTCGCGATCCTTAAAAATTGAAACCGTTTTACGTTAGCTCATTTTTAAATTCCTTATGTAAACATTCCTAGAAAAGGATTCATGAAGCATCGAAATGTTCCAAAATAAAATTAATATTGCTTTTGTGAAGTGCTCTGGTAACCGTTTTTCCGGTAATGTGGCGACATTGAGCCAATAAAAATCTTTCTTGGATCGTTTCACGCGTTTGTGTCATCAATGGCACTTAAAAATGAAATATGATTGACATAATTTCTTGCCGCTTGAAATGATGTATTTGACTTGAATTTAGTTGCGCTATTTGGAAGCTGTCGTAATTTGCAAATATAACCAAACATTGTTCGCGAGTAGCCCTAGTGAACGCCTGACAGGCTTCTTGTTCATCTCTAAAATCAAACTAGAATTTTTCAACTGCCGATTTTCCAATCTAGGCTGTTGCATCACTTTCTATGCCCTGTACAAGCGATATCAAGAATCAAGTAAGTCATCATGGAACCTGTTAAAGTTTGGTGGGCTTACCCTGATTACAGGCAGCCTATGGATTGGCTTAATTCAAAGCACATCAAGCGTTATTAAAGAATCTTTACCTAAACTTAAAGCCAATCACCGCTCGCTTAAATAGAATCTGGATGATTTACGCACAAAACTGTCAAGCACTACTGGTTGCAGAGATGGACTGGCCGCTTTAGAATGAGGTTTTACTCAGACCGTATTCTATGTAGCTGATATCTTAGGGAGTTGTAATGAAGTTTGAATGGAGATGGTGTAAATAAAGTGTAAATGATTAGAGAGAGCAATCTTTAGTGTACAATAACATGGGAGAAATGTAACAACTTTCTCGTTGGAATTACGAAGTAATTAAGCCTAAATTAATAGATCAGTTTTACTGTAGTCATCAATACATCATTGTCATTTTATAAACGTTTCTGGCATAACTTACATTCCTTTGCACAATCATGCCTAGCAACACAAACCAAACAGGACGATAACTATGTCTAAATAAGGAATTATTGTTAATAATATACCTAATATTATATGCAACACTGGGTTCTTTTGATTACGGCCATAATTAGAACTGCTATTTTTTGTTGATGTATAAAATTGAAGCAAATAACATTACCACCATTAGGTCAGTTTGATTTTTATTAATTATGGCTGTCAGGAAAATGTCAGGAAAATGGCTGTCTGAAGTTGGCGATGAAAACGAAGATGAAAACGAACCTATGAATGCATTTGTTTATAGAGCTAAAATCATTGAAGTCGGGAGATTGTGTCGTTCTATAGGCGACCAGTTATCAGAGTCAAACGTCGAACTCCACCAAAATGAAAATTTGGGTTGGTTAACAGAGTTAGTAAATGTTATCGATGTGACTTTAGATTGGCTGGAGCACGAAATTCCAAATGTGAACATTAACTCAAAAAAAATAGAGCATATATTGAGAGGACTGTACAATGTAACAGGTGGGTGAAATTTCTTTAACTTTGTACTTTGATCAACTTGAAATATAAAAAAAAAAGCAACACAACTTACAATGTATCAAACTTTGAGCTCAGTATACATTGCAGAAAGTACACAAATCATTGACGAAATAGCCCGATTCTTCACTCCAGGTGCGCAAATATTTTGTGTTAAGTCACTGGAAAAAAATTCATAAAATCAGTTATGTCAAGAAAATTTGTATAGAGAGAAAATTTTGGTAGTCTTCGAAATGACGTACTTCAGATATTATTTACCAACCATGCAAATTTAGCATTGCTATACTAATAAAAAAAATAAATAGTGCAACAAGCTAAAAATATTTCGATCAATCAACGATTTCTATTTATATTGTAGGTCTTGAGCCAATCAGATTGCGTAGAACCTTAATTGCTATTTGATATTCCCAAAACAATTTTCTTCAATTTTTTGACACAGATTCGTTGTATTTCAACAGAGATATCGGCTTTTATACTTAGCCTTTAGATGTAGCAAGAAGTAATATTGCTTTTGAACTTGCAGTTTCGCCTTAATAACAATGATTTTTTCAATGATTTTCTGAAATAACAATAAGCAATTCTTCACTGAATGGACTACTAAATTACTAGTAAAAGTCGAAAGCAAGTGTTCAATAGTTATTGGAAAAAAGTAATATTGATTTACTTTAATATTTTTCCGCAATTCTATGCTCGAGTACACCAACAAGAAGAATGCATTGACAAAATAATTGTATGATTTCTATGCTGTTGATAGAATTACGCAAATATGCAAAAAAGTGAAACCTCTAATGTTAAATAAGGTTGTGCAAATGTTTTGTAAAGCTGTAGATTTGGCATAAAAATACTTTAACACAGGCGTACAGAACGTGAAGCTTAAAGTTGATATCTCTTCCAAAGAGTAAGTAATTAAAATCTGTGTAAAAAAATTTATAATTTTCTTTAATCATCATTTAAAAATGTTGAACTCTGCGTATATTTAACGATAATTTTAGGTTTAGCGCAATCTCATTAAATCAAAAGCAAAAATGTAAATAATTGCTGATTGCAGAAATTTTTCGTAGTTATTTAATAGTGCATGAAGAAAAGCATATTTACTGAATGCTTATGGTCAATATAAAACGTTTACTATGTTACAAAAATAACGTAAATTATATTTCATTTATTATTCAGAATTGGGGAATAATGCGCAAATCTTCCCAATATTAAAAATAGCTTGTGAATTTCTAAACAACGAAAAAGATCCATTCAAAGAGGAACGTCAAAGAATACTGAACTGTTTGGAACAAGTCGAAAAGCGCCAGGCTACTTTAGAATCGTTAATTAAAGACGCAAGCAGGTTGCTTGAAGAAATGTTAGACAGTGATAAATTCGATTACGCAAAGCAACGGGAATTTGACAACGTCGTCAGGAAAGCAAATGTGGAGATCGATTTCTGCAGCCGGAGATTGAACGGAGCAGAAAAAGCTATTAACAAGCTCTCTGAGAAATGGAACATCATTAAATGGGTGTCACGTGGTATGCGTGCTTCAGGTTGGATTTATGTCCTTTCAATGGCGTCCAGGGTCAATTTCTTTGTTTCCTATGTTGCCCTGTTGTTCAGTCACCTTTGAAATTTCAATTTTGCGAAGTTTCGATGTTTCATGAATCGTTTTCAAGCCATGAAATTTCACTTATTAGTTGTTTAAATTATTTACAATCGTGATACTTAAAAATCAAAACCATTTTACGTTAATTCATTTTTAAATTCCTTATGTAAACATTGCTTGAAAAGGATTCATAAAGCATCGAAATGATCCAAAATAAAATTTACACTACTTTTATTACTCTGGCTACCGTTTTTCCGGTAATGTGGCGAGATTGAGCCCATCAAAATCTTTCTTGGATCGTTTCACGCGTTTGTGTCATCAATGGCACTTAAAAATGAAATATGATTGACATAATTTCTTGCCGCATGTAATGATGTGCTTAACTTGAAGTTAGTTGTGCTATTCGGCAGCTGTCGTAATTTGCAAATACAACCAAACATTGTTCGCAAGTAGCCCTAGTGAACGCCTGATAGGCTTCCTATTCATTTCTAAAATCAAATTAGAATTTTTTAACTGACGATTTTCTAATCTAGGCTGTTGCATCACTTTCTATGTCCTCTACAAGCAATATGAAAAATCAGGTAAGTCATCATGGGACCTGTTAAAGTTTGGTGGGCTTGCCCTGTTTGCAGGCAGCCAATGGATTGGCTTTATTCCAGGCAAAGCAGGCGTTATGAAAGAATCTTTATCTAAACTTAAAGCCGATCACCTTTCGCTTAAAGAGAATCTGGAAGATTTACGCACAGAACTGTCAAGCATTGCTGGTTTCAGAGATGGATTATTCGATTTAGATTGAGGTTTTACTCTGGCCGTACTTTATGTAGCTGATATCTTAGGGAGTTGCAATGAAGTTTTAATGGAGATGGTGTAAATAAAGTGTAAATGATTAGAGAGAGCAATCTTTAGTGTACAATAATATTGGGAGAAATGCAACAACTTTCTCGTTGGAATTACGAAGTAATTAAGCCTAAATTTATAGATTAGTTTTACTTTAGTCATCAAACATTATAGCCATTTTATAAAAGTTTCTGGCATAATTTACATTCCTTTGCACCACATATCATACCTAGCAACACATACCAAGCACGACTAAAACTGTGTCTATATAACGAATTGTTGTTGATAATATAATTAACATTATGTGCAACATTGGGTTCTTTGAATTACAGTTAAGATAAGAGCTGGTAATTTTTGTTGATGTATAAAATTGAAGCAAATAACATTACCACCATTAGGTCAGTTTGATTTTTACTAATTATGGCTGTCAGGAAAATGTCAGTATTGCTGTCTGATGTTGGCGATGAAAACGAGCCTATGAATGCATTTGTTCATAGAGCTAAAATCATTGAAGTCGGGAGATTGTGTCGTTCTATAGGCGACCAGTTATCAGAGTCAAAAGTCGAACGCTACCAGCATGTAATGTGCAGGTTGAATTTTGTCTTGTAATTGTATTCATATTCATTGCAAAAAGACCTATTTTAAGCTCGCTTCCATTTTAGTCATTTCATTCCATTGCATTAAGCACACTTTAAGGCATATAAATTTATTTCAGAAAAAAAGGAACTCAGTCATTTAAATTTCAAATGCAGATTGGGCGCTCACTGCTTATTTCGTGTTCAAGCGATATTAGAAATCCAGTCATTCGTCGAGTTTATATGCCATAGCGCATAATGCTTCAATTAAGTTTTTTGGATCAGAGAGGAGCTCAACCCCGGTTTAAAAAAGCTCCATGTAATCAACTTCTATGATGTTATCCACATAACAGGAAAAGCCCAAACAGCGAAGGGAGTTTCCCAAAATTATCTATCGTTAGGAAACATGTGACTTGGTCACCTTGTCAACAAATGTAAAATAAAAAGCTAGTTAAATATTTCCATTTCTATACAAGGTCAGTTGATTGTTAATAGATTATACATGCCAAACACTAGGTTGTATAACAATGAAGAAAGTGATTTCGTATTAACGGTAACAGTTTAAACTGATTAACCCTAGCACAGCTAAGTTAGTCTTCATATTTTTAATTATGGCCTCCAAAATACGGCTGTCTAAAGTTGGCGATCAGTGCGAACGTATGAACACAATTGTTTATAGAGCCAAAGTCATTGAAGTCGGGAAAATGTGTCGTTCTATAGGCGACCAGTTATCAGAGTCAAAACTCGAACTCCACCAAAATGAAAATTTAGGTTGGTTAACAGAGTTAACAAATGTTATCGATGTGACTTTAGATTAGCTGGAGCACGAAATTTCAAATGTGAACATTAACTCAAAAAAAATAGAGCATATATTGAGAGGAATGTACAAAGTAACAGGTGGGTGAATTTTCTTTAACTTTGTACTTTGATCAACTTGAAATATAAAAAAAAGCAACACAACTTACAATGTATCAAACTTTGAGCTCAGTATACATTGCAGAAAGTACACAAATCATTGACGAAATATCCCGATTCTTCACTCCAGGTGCGCAAATATTTTGTGTTAAGTCACTGGAAAAAAATTCATAAAATCAGTTATGTCAAAAAAATTTGTATAGAGAGAAAATTTTGATAGTCTTCGAAATAACGTACTTCAGATATTATTTACTAACCATGCAAATTTAGCATTGCTATACCAATAAAAAAAATAGTTAGTGCAACAAGCTAAAAATATTTCGTTCAATCAACGATTTCTATTTATATTGTAGGTCTTGAGCCAATCAGATTGCGTAGAACCTTAATTGCTATTTGATATTCCCAAAACAATTTTCTTCAATTTTTTGACACAGATTCGTTGTATTTCAACAGAGACATTAGCTTTTATACTTAGTCTTTAGATGTAGCAAGAAGTAATATTGCTTTTAAGCTTGCAGTTTCGCCTTAAGAACAATGATTTTTCAATGATTTTCTGAAATAACAATAAGCAATTCTTCACTGAATGGACTACTAAATTACTAGTAAAAGTCGAAAGCAAGTGTTCAATAGTTATTGGAAAAAAGTAATATTGATTTACTTTAACAATTTTCCGCAATTCTATGCTCGAGTACACCAACAAGAAGAATGCATTGACAAAATAATTGTATGATTTCTACGCTGTTGATAGAATTATGCAAATATGCAAAGTAGTGAAATCTCTGATTCATTTTTAAATTCCTTATGTAAACATTGCTTGAAAAGGATTCATAAAGCATCGAAATGTTCCAAAATAAAATTTCTATTACTTTTATTACTCTGGCTACCGTTTTTCCGGTAATGTGGCGAGATTGAGCTAACCAAAATCTTTCTTGGATCGTTTCACGCGTGTGTGTCATTAATGGCACTTAAAAATGAAATATGATTGACATAATTACTTGCCGCATGTAACGATGTGCTTGACTTGAATTTAGTTGTGCTATTCGGCAGCTGTCGTAATTTGTAGCTCTAGTGAACGCCTGATAGGCTTCTTGTTCATTTCTAAAATCAAACTAGAATTTTTCAATTTCCTATTTTCCAATCTAGGCTATTGCATCACTTTCTATGTCCTCTACAAGCAATATCTGGAATCAGGTAAGTCGGCATGGCACCTGATACAGTTTGGTGGGCTTACCCTGATTGCAGGCAGCCTATGGATTGGCTTAATTCAAAGCAAAGCAAGCGTTATCGTAGAATCTTTACCTATACTTAAAGCCAATCACCGTTCGCTTAAAAATTATTTGGAAGATTTACGCACAAAACTGTCAAGCACTACTAGTTACAGATATGGATCGACTGCTTTAGAATGAGGTTTTACTCAGGCCGTATTCTATGTAGCTGACATCTAAGGGAGTTGTAATGAAGTTTGAATGGAGATGGTGTAAATAAAGTGTAAATGATTAGAGAGAGCAATCTTTAGTGTACAATAACATGGGAGAAATGTAACAACTTTCTCGTTGGAATTACGAAGTAATTAAGCCTAAATTAATAGATCAGTTTTACTGTAGTCATCAATACATCATTGTCATTTTATAAACGTTTCTGGCATAACTTACATTCCTTTGCACAATCATACCTAGCAACACAAACCAAACAGGACGATAACTATGTCTAAATAAGGAATTATTGTTAATAATATACTTAATATTATATGCAACATTGGGTTCTTTGAATTACAGTTAAGATAAGAGCTGGTAATTTTTGTTGATGTATAAAATTGAAGCAAATAACATTACCACCACTAGGTCAGTTTGATTTTTATTAATTATGGCTGTCAGGGAAATGTCAGTATGGCTGTCTGAAGCTAGCTATGAAAACGAGCCTATGAATGCATTTGTTTATAGAGCTAAAATCATTGAAGTCGGGAGATTGTGTCGTTCTATAGGCGACCAGTTATCAGAGTCAAACGTCGAACACTACCAAAATGAAAATTTGGGTTTGTTAGTGCAGTACCTAAAAGCGCTTGTTGAGACTCTAAATTTGCTGGAGCGCGAAAGTCAAAGTGAGAAATTAGAGCCAAGAGAAACGGAGCTAATATTGAGAGGACTCTATAATTTAACAGGTAGGTACGTATTACATTTCCCAGGCCGTGCGAGTCGCATACAGTGTTACAGCACCGATATACATAAAATTTACAGAATCCGTACAAAACTTCTAAGCAATACAATTCTCGATATAAAACTGGATCAAGCACCTCTATGTTCGTATTAAACAAATTTTAAAACCAGTGATACGTGACGAATAAACACGAAACACAACAAAATGTAAATATGTTTGAAAATCGTGGCCAGAGATTTGCTAGGCGGAAAGCGGATTATTATAATAAACATGATATCCCAACATATATATATATATCCTACATATGTCCCAACATATAATAAGAGTGATAAGACTTTTAATGGCTTAAAGCATTAAACATAAAAATTTTAAAGGCTTTATTAAAAGTCTTAATGTTGGGCTAATATATTTTCAATCTTTCTCAACGAATGCCTATTAAATATCATACAAACGAACCAACCATGAAGTAATCTTTTTATACTAGTACTGAATTTTAGATTATAGTGAAAGTTGTTGCTGAAGACATTCAGGCTCTTCAAAATAGATATGTGATATGCATCAAAAAATACAACTGATTTGTTCATGATGACACAATAATTTTTCTTTTGTTTTTTTCCGAACAAGATGAAAGGCAACCTTTCTCACGAGGGAACTAGATTCATATTCTGTGATGTCTTTTTTTCTCTCGAACGGAAGGAAATAAATTCGCTCAGATATTAAGTTTCTTGACGGAAATGTTACTTTATGACGGAAATATTCTTGATGCTTCGGGATTCATGTTTGCCCACGATAAAAATTGTTGAAGAAGTACATCACGATACTGTTTTTAATAATATTGCAGAATTTTCTGACGTATAGTGTATTGATAATATGCAAATTTCACTGATGAAAAATGCCGTATGTTCAATGAGAATGCAAATACCGTTAATATGCGTGCTCTATCGCAACTATTATTTTGCTGCGTTTTCTTAATGTTCCGATTTCGGTAAGATTCATGCTTTGAATTCCAAAGACTTTTCTCGGCTTCTTAAAGATTCCAACAGTAGAGAACGACAGAACATTGACTTAACCTTGACTCGTCACTCCACCGAGATGATGCCACCATTGACATGTTGTTATGGAAAGCCATAGTGGACAAAAGTAGTCGAGAATTTTTTTCCATCAAGATTATTTTTTACTGTTGAGAATACAGGTTATATAGTCCAGTTAGATAATTTTTTTGGAGTCGAAAATATTTTGGGCAGTCGAGAATTTTTTTGGCAGTCGAGAATTTTTTTGGCAGTCGAGAATGTTTTTGACAGTCGAGAATTTTTTTGGCAGTCGATAATTTTTTTGTAGTCGAGACTTTTTTTGGAGTCGAGAATTTTTTTGGAGTCGAGATTTTTTTACAGTCGAGAATTTTTTTGGAGTCGAGATGTTTTTTACAGTCGAGAATTTTTTTGGAGTCGAGAATTTTTTTACAGTCGAGAATTTTTATGGCAGTCGAAATTTTTTTCGCACCAATTTTTTCCGCGTTTATAGGCTCATTAAAAACAATATGGCGACTGAATCTTTATCAGGTGCGAGAGAGATACTTTCGCAAATATTTAACCGCATCGAAAAATTTTCGGATGCCTTGGCAAGTACCGGGGCATCTTCCAATAACTATGCTAGTGTTGAAGTCCACGACTCGGTTAAGAATGAAGTAAGAAAGACGTTTGGACAACATTCATTATCATCAGGTATGGAAGTAAATCAACCAAGTAATACAACGCAGTCGCACTGCACAAATCATGCATCCGTCACAGCTTCCTCTTCACATCTGGCAACTCCTTCCTACAATACCAGAAGATATTTCGGTGACCAACGGTCAACTATGAGATCAAATCGTTGGAGAAAATGTTCTAAGTCGAAAAAAGTTAGTACTGGGCCATTCTCGCGTGATATTATCTTACTATCATGTCCAGATGACAAGAATGTACCTCATCAAGGAGGAAAAGTTTTTCTGCAGGAAAATGATCACATCATCTGTGCGTTTGAATTTCACAAAGAGTGGACTGACATTGACGTAGAACTTGAAATACGCCAAGCTTTTCAAGGAACCCTGCCTGATGACGTGGAAATTGAGATTGTGCATTCTCTCCATACAACACTTCTCAAACCTACATTAGCTCAAGGTCAATACTTAAATGGTTCTGTAATCAACAGAATCTTTAGCAACAACAAACCAGTTTATATTAGGCCCTGTAGACAAATCCTAAATCAGTCTACAAATAAAGAGAAACGTAAAAGGTATAGTCTTCCAGAAAATGTGTTTGACGATGTTGAGGACGATGAATTATGGAGGTTATCAAATGATTCAAGTCTTAATGAAATCTTAATTAACAATTTTCAAGGTGGGATTTGAGAAAATATTCTTTTTTTTATTGTTTTGGAGTAAAATCTCTTGAGAAATCTATAGCAGTATATATATACATGTTCTAGGGATGAAAAAAGTTTAAAATATATAATATAAAGCTTTTTATACATTGAAAGGAGCAAAATTGTTTAATGTTTATACTTCAGTATTTGTCATAAACACTTATTCATATATTGTAATTTATCAAGCAAATCAAGCTCAATTTGGAGAAATAAATCAAGCTACTGGGGTCATAGATGAACCCTTGAAGCAACATGAAGCCATTAATGATAAGCAGCTTGATGATGCTGAAATGCAAAACAACCAGTGTGAATTGTTTGAAATAAACTTGGAAGAACCATTTGATTTACAAGGTAACTGATGTTTCCATGCATATGAAAATAAAATGAGTCAGACATTGTTAAAGTTATTGACCCAGTTAAAGAATCAAATAATCACTACTACATTAAATAGTTTATAATAAAAACAATTAAGCCCCTAAAACCATGTTGTTTGAAATACTTTTGTTAAATGTATTCTTATATCTTCCTAATGTCTTCCACAATATTCATCATCATCATCATCATCATCGTCATTATCATCATCATCATCATCATCATCATCGTCAGTATTATTTTTATTTTTATTTATATAGAGTATGCCAAAGAAACTATACAAACTAGTTGAACATTTTTATCTTTAATTGTATCCCAACTACCCTAGCATTTTTCCATCAGTATCCTTATTAGTACTTGCATTATTAGTATTATTGGTATTATTTTTAATACTATTATTAATATTATTAAACCGTGATAAATTTTATCTGCAGACATCAATCACTCACTTTTGCCAAAAGTGTTATAAAAATAGATTTGTTACTTACTGTATGCCTGATAAAATCTTTGTTTTTGTGATTGTAAAAGTGCTATATTATTTGATTTGAAAGATGATGGAGACGTAAATATTGATGCAGATTGTAAATTGTACAGTGGTAATCAGCTTCAGGAAAACAATCGCTTGGTTAAGGAAATTGCCATTAACCGCCACAATGTGTTAGCAGACATGATTATTGCGTTCAAGGACAAAAGTATTTTGTCGTGTTGCCTAGACGGAAGAGGCTCTGGTGTAAAACGAGAGGCGCTTAGCATATTTTGGAGTTAGTTTTATAACTCACTGGCTACTGGTGCTTCCGAAAAAGTCCCAGCTATACGTCATGACTACCAACAGAGTGAATGGAAAAGTATTGCTCGTATTCTTGTTGCAGGATTTATTAACTTTGGATATTTTCCTGTTACTTTGTCCAGTGCATTTATTGCTTCTTGTCTTTTTTCGGAGGACGCGCTTCCTAAGGATTGGCTAGTAGAGTCTTTTCATCAATATATATCAAAGGACGAAAGTGACACTTTAAAAAGAAGTATCAGTGATGAATGCCCTGACCCGTCATTGGACGAAGATGTAGCTGACGTGCTTTCAAGTTACAAGTGCCGCAGGGTGATTAAAAGAGCTCGATGCCAAAATTATTGAGGAGTTAGCTCATCAAGAAATAATACAGCGTCCAAAATACGTGGCTAATGCATGGTCACCGATCCTGAAGCAACTGAAACGTTTTAAGCAATTTGAAACTGTTGAGAGTTTGGTGAGTTTTATGAAGGAAAAAGCCAAACCAGAAAAGGTTTGCAAGCTATTGCTTTCAAGCTCAGCCTCTGATGCCGAATGGGAATGCTTCTCTCATTTATAGCGGTTTGTTAAATCTCTTGACGACAACGTTATTAGTGTTTTTCTCCAGTATGTTACTGGTAGCAACATTGCAGTTGATTCAATCGAGGTTGCATTTAGTGTTGAATCTGGTAACGCACGTCGACCTTTTGCGCACACATGTGCTCCTCTACTGACAATACCATCAACTTACCAGTCATACAACGAACTGTCCGAGGAATACAATAACATTTTTCGACGTGAAGCTGCATGGTCATTTTATATGGTTTAATAGAAACAAATGACTTTGTCATAGAAATACTTGTCAAATGTCGTTATTTACACGAGCAAAAAACTTTGCCAAAGACAACTTTGCCACAGAAACTTTGCTCGTGTAAATTACGCTTAACCTTTGTTATTGCACAACCTGATTAAATTCTCTCTTTAGCGTAGCTCTCTGTGAAAAACCGCACTCAGAATCGAGAAAAGTTATTTAGCGCCACTCTCGGTTAAGCGCCGCTTCTGAGTAACTAAGTGCGGCGCTCGGAAAAAATATATAAACTTTAAAGTTTATGACAACCTTGTTCTGCGCCTATGTGACACTATTTTCATTAAGTTATATAATAAAACATCATAAAGGTAGGTTTTGTGCACTCGTTATTTGCTTGGGGCAATAAAAAATTTAATAAGCGCCGCTCCTACTTATGCACCACTCCCGCATAAACGCCGTATTAAAAATCGGGAAAATGAAATTAGCGCTAAGGCGCTAAAGCTAGCACTAACGGTACGCATTTTTACTAGTGAAGAACTCCACATTTCCAATTCTAGGCATATGGTTTTTATTTCACTATTTAATTGCGCACATGCAAAATTCAATACTTGTATGATAAAACTTGTCATTATTTTATTTTATACATTTATATATATGACTTTAATTTATATCTATGACTTTTTGTTTTCACGTTTTGAAGAAATCACTATAGTCAAACGTCTACACGACATTTATACCAGCATGCATTTAGCAAGAAAACATCAATTAAGTCGTGGTCCTAAGGGTGTTTGCTAAAGCCTGGTTTCCACTATTGGTTTATCACGATAAAAGCGATAGCGATAACTTTTCTTGGCAATGGTTGCGCGATTAGACGTGTTGTTTACATTATGTCGGATGGCGATTATTTTGAGAAATGGCATCAGTAAAAAAACACGATCTGATAGTAATTGCAGTAGCTTATGTTTTATGAAGGCGACGGCGACGCCGTAGAAAGGAATCGAATAAAAGAAAACAACGTTTTTGGATTCGCCATCTTAAATTCCTAAATTTTCATTCAAGATGACGTCATTTTGGCGATTAACGCGAAAAAAATATCAAAATTTTTTGATATTTTATCGCGTTTGTCACGATTGTTAGTCGCCGTTTATTGCGATTATTACCACGTTCTCCTATGGGACTATCGCGATTAAAGTTAATCGCTGTCGTGTTTGTCGCGTTAAACCAATAGTGGAAACCAGGCTTAACGGGACGGGAGGTTAGACTGCAGCATGAACAGCGCATAAAGGAAAAGCATATTTACTGAATGCTCATGGTCAAAAAGTTTACTATGTTGGAAAAAATAGCGTACATTACATTTCATTTATTATTCAGAATTGGGGAATAATGCGCTCATCTTCCTAATATTAGAAATAGCTTGTGCATTTCTAAACATGGAAAAAGATCCGTTTCCAGAGGAAGGTCAATACATCATGAATTGTTTGGAAAATGTCAAAGAGCACCAGGCTACTATAGAGTCGTTAATTAAGGACGCAAGTAGGTTGCTTGAAGAAATGTTAGACAGTGAAAACTTCGGTTGCATTGTGGGAAGAGAGTTTGACGAAGTCGTCAGGAAAGCAAAAATTGAGATTGAGTTGTGCAGCCGGAGATTGAACGGAGCAGAAAAAGCTATTAACAAGCTCGCTGAGAAAATGAACATCATTAAATGGGTGTCACGTGGTATGCGTACTGCAGGTTGGATTTATATCTGAGTTGTTGTATTCGTTTTCTTTGCATCCAGTGCTCAGTTAAGCCATTTTTATTATCTTTCATCTTAACATTTGCAAACACATTTTATTATCCAGGTTTTGCCTTCTCCTCTTGTGTCCTGTACAAGCGATATCAAGAATCGAGTCAGTCTTTGTTTGACTTGTTGCAGTTTGGGGGGCTCACTCTGCTCATTGGGAATATGTGGATGTTCTTTTTTGGAGTTAGACCAAGCGTTTTCTACGAATCGATTCCAAAACTCGAAGCACAACACCGTTTGTTGAAGGAAAAACTTAATGATTTGCGTAAAAGCTTGATAAAATTATAGCCATATTGCTATATATTCAGGACATATACCACTTTACAATGAACGGTTTTATTTCAGGAATTTGTGAGAATTATATCACCAGCATTTTGTGAGAGGAGGACGCAAACAAAACAATTGCTGCGGAGAAGAAAAGCAAAATTTGCGCTAAAGTATATGGAAAACAATGAAACATTTTTCATTTTTTGTTTCTCAGTTGTACTTTCCAGAGACACAGACGAGTATTAGAGATTAATAATCATACCTGATCTGCATAATTCACACTCAGAGAAAAAAAATGAGTTTGTTATGCGAAACTAAGTATAAATGACGAACTTATGATATTTCTCACAGCTTTTGTTCATAATTCAAACCATTAAGCTGAACTTTTTGCAATAGTCTAAAGGCGTTAAGTAAAATATTTTTTGGTAAAAAGCACAGCAAGCGCTTCCTTTTGTTTTTTTATACAAAAAAGGTACTTCAAAAGCATTTCTTATCTTATTTACTGTATACTTTCATTGATTGTATCATTTTTTAATAGTAACCATCTTTATATACATTCAACATCTTCATTATCAAGCAACGACGGAATAAAACATATAATATGCGTAAGTTTTAGCTGGACCAATATCCAAATTTTGGGTAGGCATTAAAACAAGAAACTTTTTTACGAGGACTTATTTTAAGCCCCTAAATTTTTTCTCAATGAATTTTTTGCTGTTTTTTCATAATTATTTTCTCTTTTTGTTTTAAGTATTCCGTTTAACCGATCAAATTAAGATTATTTTTATTTTTCATCTTAGGAATCGCCCCCTTACCAGTGCAAATCTGAGGATTTTTCGCCAAATTATTTTCTGCGGTTGTTCACCCCCGCAGAAAATAATTTTTCTGTGTCTGCCCCTTACAACCTGATGGCAATTAAGCCATGATAGCTTATTTTATATTATTTTATACTATTTTATATTTTATATTATTTTATATTCTAAGTTTTATATTAAAGTCATAAGGCAAGATTTAAGTGCAGGTAACGTCATACGGTTACGTCATACAGTTTTTAAATTATACGCTAATTAAGAGAAATGGAAAGTACACTGTAATATAAAGCTTAGTGTTTTCTTAAATTTCTCGACTTTTATACATTTTTTGTGATGGTTAAGGACAGTAAAAGAGTATTAAACAGTTAAGAATTGTTTTTTACTGTTGTATTTGATGGAAAACGTGTTTTAAAGACGATTTTTCAATTTATCATTTTGAATGATAAATTTTAGTTGAGTGTGGTGATGAATGTTGTGATGAATGTTGTGTTGAATGTGGTGCCTCATGTGGTGCCAATTTCACAGTAGTAGAACTGCCAGCAGGAATTCAAGAACACATATTCCATTTTCCAGAAAAGTATGGTGGTGAACAATGTGGAATTGATATTACAGAAGAACAACTGCTTGAGGTTTCTGAGTTATCAAATGTTTTGGAAGACAATGATGATTATTTAAGACCAGCTGTTGGTGAAGAGTGTAAGAAGAATTTGCCCCAAATACATGAAATTAATCCCAGTGATGCTAAGGAAGCTTATTTATACTTAAAGAGTCATGTTGATGTGAATATTTTTTAAGACACAATAGAAACTCGCTTTATTAAAATCGTATTTGAAAACTGAACTTGATCAAGAAATTTGAACAAAAACATTATTACCGTCAATCAAACTTGATTTAAAATGTCAGTCAAAACGTAACTATATTATCTACATTTATTTGAGCTTAAGCATAAGGCAAAATTTGTTGCAAACATGCTCTACCTTAAACCTATCAATGGCATCTGTCGAAAGGTTGCCATAGCAAAAGAAAATTGTCCTGTCAATATCATCAATAAGAGTTGAAATTGCAGCCTCTGGATCAAACAAACTATGATCTACTCCCTGGATGTCCAAAACCATTAGCTGTTGTCCAGACTTCTCATAGGTATAGTGACAGAATGATTCTGCCTTCAGTGTTACCTCACAACTCCCACAAACCTGACCAGTGTTGCTCACATACTTTTGAAATTCACCCTCTACATAATTTTTCAATGTTACAAACTCACTATAAAGCCCTCCATTTGTGTAATTTAGAGCATGACCATACTCAATGGAAGCCTCGCTTGCTAATGTTTTGGCAAAGTTCCTAACTAGTGCTTTCATTTGCGCTGCTTTTCTTGTGTGCTCCTCAATTGATTTAAACAGCTGCTTAATGTCCCCATTTTTTTCTTCTCGAACTTTTTTAGCACATATTTTCCTGGCTTCAAGCCTGATATGGGGCAATGTTATGCATCTCTGACACCTCCACTTGCAAATTTCTGTTTGGAAATAGAGAGTGTAACTTCAAACGGCTGAGCTCATGTCTTATCACATACTTGCTGAACTATCCTGAATTCCTAGTCTGAGTCCTAAAGTAGGTCATGTATGAAATGTGAATAAGGTGAATACCTATTCTTAAAAAAGCCATCGTGTATTGTGTGTATATACCCAACAACAACATTGGAAAATAAACGAATATAGCATGTTGTGAAAATAATTTTTTAATCACAAGGATTAGCCAAATATTTCATTGGCCTCATTGGCGCTGTGCCATCAGAGGATGACTAACTCAGCAGCGTTTTTAATCTTTATTGCTTATCAAACTTTCTGCAAAATCTTCAAGTTTCTCATTCAACCCACGATGTTGTGGTTCGAGACTTAATATATTCTCGTAGAGAACGATTTGCTTCCCCAGGGGGAGGAAGAATGGAAGTCCTTGTGCTATCAAGCATAAATTATTGACGGCTACCTGAATTACAGAGAAAAAAATAAATAAATTGGATGAATAATAAACCAAAAATTAGGATTCTGCTCATTTCATTTTTTTGAAAACTGCACCATGCTCCAAGCACTGGGCCAATCGAAGACAGTTGCTTGAGCCTAATACTTTGCGGTAAAACAAATTATTTTAATAAGAAAAAACGCTAATCAATTAGTTTCAAACTGTAAATAATTTTAATATTTTGAATTGCAGCAATATTACGTTTTCTCTGTTTTTTTTTGTCAATAAATTTACCAGTGTTTCCTCATAAGTATTTTTTGAAAAAAGGACACCAACGAGCATATAAGTGAGGGATGCATTGGGAAATTTACCGGTTTCCTTAAAAGACAGTTCGGCACTGCATTTTTGCCTGACCGACGATGTTGTCAAATTTCCTGTCTTTTAAATGACCAACGTCTTCAGTTTGCAACATTTTTTTAAGCAACCAGCTCACCTTCACGATGGACGACCCCATACAAACTAATACCAGTTTAATACCTTTAAAGCACTCCACTATGTTTTGACCTAATCACGTTTCCCTGGAAATAGATTGGATTAGTTATACTTCCATCATCATGAGTGTAACGTTATTATAAGCGTTTTAAAACGGCTAATTTCAAATTAGTGGTTGTAGAAATGAACTCTCCCGATGCCAATGTATCACTAAATCGCATTAATAAATCTAAACTATACTTGGACTGTTCGTGTTTGTTACAATAAAGATTTCTGCATTATTTCCCATTCCTGGATTACCGTTTGAACTAAATGTACGCAAGTTTTGCAACATAATAATAAAGCAGAACACTCCATTAAGCATGACTTTTATATTGCTAAGCCTCAAATGGTATTTTCATGACTACTATGTATAGTTTTATAAGTAATGTCTAATTTTTGTATACTTTCTACATTGCATATTTTGCTCAAAAATCAATGTGTATAGACATTCCTACCAGTGAACAAAAATGCATAGGCAACCTGCATAATATTTAGGAGAATAAACTGATCAAAGCAACTATTTTCTAGGATTTGTCATATTGAAAAATGGATAAATGACATCTTAAAGTGTTAATTAAGTTGGGAAACATTTTTGCAGAAGTGTTACAATGGATTGTTGAATTTGACAGAAGTATTGTTGAAGAACAGATGGTAATGTTATTCAATGGCATAAATATTACTGGACAAGAAATTTGTGACCAGTTGTTTTGCTTGTTCTATGCAAAGTAAATCAATAGAGAGATTTAGCAAGAGTACGACAACGACAACGAGTACGAAGTTTGACTGTGTAAGGGAATGGCACGAGGAAGTTTGTTGTCGTTGTCGCTCATTGAGTTCTATAAGACCTAGAAGGGACACGTCAACAAAATTACTATAAATTATTAGCGCGCGGCCCGTGGTCAAAAACATGGCGGATTTTGGTGGTCAAAGGCAGCGGAAAGACGCGGGCTCATGAAATAAAAATTTTGTCTTCCACCCTGATTTGAACACCACCATTGCAAGTATAGAAAATATTAAAACTATTTATTTTCCTAACACAAACACTTTTTTAAAATTTTATTTATTAAACAATCTGCCAACTTCCGTGGATTGCGGATGCTGAAATAGCGACAGAAAAGGAAACATTTCATGACTCCGGTAAGTAGCACAGTAGTAGTTTTACTATTTTGTTTTTAACACGATACTTGAAGAGTGTTTCTACTATTAAGTTTTAATTTAAAGTTATTTTGGTCTAGTCTTGTTTGTTCTTCACTTTATCGCTGCCAGACGTGGCGAAGCTGCCAATTTTTATCGAGTTTTGCATCCATCTTGTATCATGATCAAGCTAAACTCTCCTGATTTGAATTCAGTTTACCTCCCAAAAATGGGGCAGAAATTGATCATATTTATTTTTTAAAGATGAAGGAAAGTTTACAACAGAGTTGTGTTGAAGTTGAATGCAGTGCAATGCAAATTAATGAGAACTATGGTATATGCCGCATAATAAAAATAACTATTAAACTGTTTGCCTCCTCAATTTGACTGACTGTATAGTGTAGAAAATTATAATGGGATTGGAAAGTTGGATTTATGCAAACAGTTTTAAAGTACTACTTAGCGTTACTGTAAGTGAATTATTTATTGTTATAGTAAACAGGTTAATACTTCAAAACCAAGATAAAAGAAGTGTAATGAACAATGTGCTAAGATTTGTTTCTATCTTGAAATTTTTTTTCACAGTAACTTGTGATTATATTATTAATATGCATGAAAAATCAAACATATTATTGTCACATTTCACCAAATCGTTACGTGGTATGATTCCAGGTGATCCACAAATTCACATCAGATGCATTGGTTACAATAAAGTTGAATGTAGAAGAAGCAAAGTTAGATGACAAAAAACTTCTTTGTGTTTTATGAAGAATTAGTAGAAATCAATAAAAAGCATTCTTTAAACAAATTGTAAACAAATTTAAATTGCTCATGGTCAAGCAACCTAGCAAAAAGATCAAAATCTGTCTTCAACATGTGACCTTTCCAATTATGTTTAGTTTCTTTGTACAAAATACTATTTTCGTGAAACTTGATTTGTAAGTCTTTCATTAATATGTTTTTTGCCTAAAGATAAAAGGAACAAATTCAAAGGCTTGATGTAAAATACAAAGATTTATTAAGTTGTTTATCATTTAATTCCCAATTGTTAGTTTGTACAAATAAATAATTAGTATTGGTAGCTGTAAGTTGTTCAAGCAAAACTGTAAAATTTGCACAATAATATCTATAGAACTTGCTAAATTTCTTCACCTACACTGTCAATTAACTACT